ATAAAAGCAGCTCCATAACTATGGCTTAAGACAATAATGAAAGCAGTGAGAAACAGGGACACAGCAAAATGATTAACCCAAGTTTGACTTTCAGTTCCATAGCTCTCTGCATGCTTTTGTCAAGGTCTGCATCTTGCTTTTCTGCCTTGCAGAACCTATTTTGAAGGATTCCTTTTTAAGTATTTACTAAGTGGCTGTTAGTCCTTGAGCTAGGCAGAAGGAGACTAAAGCAGCTGGGGAGCTAAATGCCAAGACGAGTTCTGGTCTGGTCCTTTGGTAGCTGTGAGGCTTGAATGGGATTAGTATGACTGCTGCAAAGACCCAAATGTTAAATATGCTGGCACTGTGCTTGGTTTTGTGGGCTCACCTTGGCTTTTAGCACTGTCTGCATATACGTCCAGGTAGCTGCGTGTCAGCTCTGGCTTTGCTGGTTGCTATTAGAGCCAGATTTATACCGGAGGGGGAATCTTTCCGTTCAGTTATTCCAGCAGCGTAACAGAAGAGGAAGTCAGTCCTGCCTTGCTGGCTGTTGTACCGTCCGTGGCTGAGGGACGAAGGCAAGGCTGCCCAACGTGGCAGTGGCCGGGTGCGGACAAGGATCCTCCTTCCCCCTCGGCAGCACCAGCGCTGCGTCTGCAGGATCCTGCTAGGAGCTGGAGCAAAGAACTGATTCATTGCCCAGCAGCTTGCTTTTTGCAGGACGCGGTTTTCTTGCTGAAGTGGGCCACGTAACTGGCCAAAGGGCTATTGGCTTAGTAATTACAGAGTCTCATTTTGTTTGATTTTGATGTTCGGTTGCCAATGCTGGTGAGGTTGGAAGCTGCTCGCGGCCACTGCAGTCTGTTTATTGCTCCTCCCTCCCAAACTGCTGCATCTCTGCCTGTTCCCGTTCTGCCTCGATGTGCCCTTCCTCTTTTCAGGAGGGCTGGTACACATGTAGGGCTTCGTCAGTATAGCTGTATATTGGCTATCTCAACGCAGGTGTCACCCATGAAAAAAAGCAAAATCTTTTTTCACCAATCCCCCCTCCCCAACAACTCGATAGAGAGATAAAGATTTTCTTTGGTGAAAATCTGAAAGCACTATTTTGCTCTCACAAACGAAGCAAAGCCTCAGTTTCTCATAAATGTTTCCATCTGGCTTGAGTATTGAATATGTGGCTGCCATGCTAGATACGTATTTCACCCCTGGCAAAAATAAAGAGGAGGTCTTTGTTCTGGTAGTCACAGAATAGACCACTCATCTGTGTGAGTTTAACACATCCATACAAGCAAGTGTGGCCTGCGTTATTACAGCCCTTTCCCAAACGTTGTCTTCTAGCTTTACTTTTGCCTTTATTTTAGGTCTTTCCATTTCTTTAAGTGACAGAGCCCGGCTGCTATGAGTGCCTTGTCTGTCTACTGAGGCACATAAATAAATTCTTTTATTACTATGAATGCAGTCCATTGATAGAGTGCCTTTATGTGGATTTGATCAAGTCTTTGCCTTTGATCCGCCTGGCATTATTAATTCTCTATTATAATTAATGAAAGCTTTGTCTTTCTCCTGCAGTGTCTGTCAAAAGATCTCAAAGACTTTTGTAAATGTTAAGCGATTAGTAATGTAGTAGCAGACTGGTGAGTTGCATGTGTGGTTTGTCTCTAGAAAAGAGACAAAGAGTTTCAGTGTATCAGCATGTGTTGTGTTTGGGGCTGGTTTTGAAATCTTTCAGTTTTTCTTGGAAAATGCCAGTTTGTAAAACTTTATTTTTTTTTAATGTTCCTAGAAGACTTACAGTTTTGAAGATGACTTTTTGAGAAAGACTTTTAGTCACAGAATTTAGTGAAATTCTGTGTGTGTTGGTCTGTGACAGGCAAACAGGAGCAGGTTGAGAGAAAGACGCTGCAGGGTCTTAGGCAGGGAAGGCAACTAGTCCCTGGTGGATTAACACCTCCCGTGAGGAGTGGGAGTTCCAGCAGATGTTCTTAGTTGCCTGCCTTTGTCAGGGGGATTTCTCCTGTGTCCACATCTCACCTGATGAAGGTTGTGTCACCGGTCCAGATGGAGTAGAAATGGTCTTGAGTATGAGCTTTCCGTTTTGCATGTGATTATCAGAACTTGTAGGATATGAGTTGCAAGCAGGTGAGTCACTGTCTGAAAAAGTGCAGCTGGTCATGGTTTTGTCTCTGGGAAGAGCAAGGAAACTTGGGAAGCAGCAGGACATTGCTGGCAGGAAGAGAGCTTCCCGTGCAGTTTGAGTTACGTGGTCATTGCATGTTTCCCGTCTGTGTGCTGCTCGGACCAAAGAGAATGACAAAGTTACTTGAATAAATCATCTGTAACGGAGCCAAGGGTAACAAAGCAGTCTAATAGCTTTCCAAAGTTAGAGTTTAATCATGCGACGAAAGTACATCGTGTAAAAGTTGTGGTCAGGCAGCACTACGGAGCCAGCTTGGCTCTGTTGAATGTGAGGAAAGCCCTGTATCCAGAAACGCGTGATGAGCGTCACAACAGCTGCTGTTGCTTTCTGCAGGGTGGGATTCAGTCTTGCAGTCAGAAACAACTAGAGCTAAAGTTAAGAAGCATTTACCATATGTTTTGTAAGCAGCAGAGGCTTCCAGTCACTTTTTTAATAACAAGGCAGTGAATAGTAAAGACTTAAGACGTGAACTGTGCTGTTTCTGCTATCTTTTAAAATTACACTAAAAGTATTAAGAGTGAAAGTAGAAAGGATCAAATTGTTCACATAAGCTTGCTCTTTCTTATAAAAAGGAGGAAACTGGGACATCTATTCTTTTTATAGCATTCCTGTAGACTCTAAAGGCAATTTCCTGACTTAGGAGAAGTCCTTGACAGCTTTGGTGGCACTTCCAACTTTCTGCAGCTAATTGCTCCTTTTCTGTTCAGTTTGCGTGTAATCCCATGCACCGAGGCAGCCTGCCTGGCTTACAGATGTAGTGCTGTATAGCATGTGTCTATGAGATCCATTCATTATATTAATTTGTTTGAAAGGCCAGCACAGCTTCCAATGTGACTAAATCGTGTTGACTGCTGACATTGCCAGGAGATTGTTAAAATATCGGAGAGCTGCCAGGAACCCTTGCTGCTTTCCTGGGGACCAGTAGAGAAATGACCTTTTACTTGCAAATTTAAATTTCTGGCTTAGAGAAGTACTCAGGTTTTTTGCTGAATGCCTTGGCCACTTGCCCATCCCTTGTTACATTTGGATTTTGCTACTGTTGGGTACTGAAGTGGTTCAGGGGACTAGTGCTGCCTGTTAATTAAGGATCTGCTCAGAGCGGTGATCTCTAGCCACAATGGAAGGAGACTATAGCAAACATCTGGGAGAAGTCATAGCTAATTCTGCCAGATACCTTTCAAAGGCATCATCTGTCTGTGCCTGTAGTTACACCTGACGTGCCCTTTGTAAGTTCACAGCTGAGTCATTTAGACCATGGGCAAGATTTATGTTAAGGCTGTAATAGCAGAGTCTATGTGTTGTGGCTCAAGGTGGGGGCAGACCCTTTTTGTGGGCAGGAGAGTGCACCTTGTGTGGTGGGGCTTCTTGTACGAGTCCTGCAGGCATGTTTGAGGGAAAGCTCTGTGCTGGCATGGCATGGTGTGCCAGCAGGAGCAAGCAGAACAGCCTGGGGCATCAGATACAGGAAAGGTTCTGCTGGATACCAGCCTGGACTAAGTGATGCTACTCCAGCCTACTTTCCTGTCTTCCCCTACCACGGGTTTCCTCCAAGTAATCTGTGCAATTAAATCATAGACTCATAGACTGGCCTAGGCTGGAAGGGACCTTAGAGATCATTTAATCCAACCTCCCTGTCATGAGCAGGGACACCTCTCAACTAGATCAGGCAACGCATGGGGACCGAACGGGGATTGAACCCGCCACCGTGGTGTTATCAGCACCACACTCTAACTGACTGAGCTAACTGGCCCCCTAAATGATCAGGCGTTTTACATGGATCTCATTTAGAGAGCGAAGAACTGTGCCAACACAAGAAGGAAAGATTTTTCCTGTGGGGAGGAGAAAGAGAAAAGAAGGCACTTGTGAATGGGCAGGTGGTGAGCAGGCAACAAGCAGTAATACTTCATGTGGGACCTCCCATGAGTATAGACTATTGTGCAAGTGCAGCTCTGCTCTACCAGTAAAATGCCCTCTTGCGTGAGTGGCTCGTTCGATATAAGGATCTGGTATAAATCTTACAGTAAAGCCACTGTTGCTGATAGAAAGTTGAGAGAGTTGGCACTTGCCAGTCGATTAATACCCATAATCTTTTACAGTACCCTTGGGCTTGTGAAAGCATGGGCTGAAAGCTGTTCTTTGTTATAAATTTGCACCTGTCAGGTTCTTCTCAAAAATGTACCTGTTGCTTCATCCTGACTATTATTCTGACTGTCTCCACTTGCTTGTTTGTGAGTTCTCTGGTGTTTGATTTTTTTTTTCCTTCCAGTGCTGTAGCTCGGTTTCCTTTTCCTGCCTCTGTTTCTTTGCTCAGCAGTGATAAGTGAGCACTGGGGGCAGCAAGCAGGGAAAAAGTCCTCAACGCTTGCTTGAGCGCAGTGCGAAAGGGTTCTGGAGTGCCGCAGGTGTTGGGAATACCCTGGCAAATTTCTGTTCCTGAGCACAGCTGCTTCTCTGCGTGCAGGCTATTGCTTTGTGAACCTGTGTGTTCCCAGGGCGAGCTGTCCTGGTGGGGAATCTGACTCTGCTTTGGCCAGAGGGTGGAGAAAACACTGTTGTTGGGGTTGCCAGCGGCAGGCCAAGGGAGACCTTTGGCTATCTGCAGAAGCGGCAAGGGTAGGGA